TGCCAGAAGAATCTGTAGTCAGCACAATCAGAAGAGTCAACGGAGAGTCAGTCGAGTCACTTCTGACCTTGTTGGCCTCTCGGTATCTCTTCCTGACATCTGCGGAGCTGAAAATGTGAAAAAGTTCGAAGCGAATCAAAACAATCATTAGGAAGTGATTTGGATCCATCATGGACGCCCCCGCCTGCAGAAAACATAAAAACAACTGTTACCAGAGTCACATACCAGCAGCAGAGTCAGTACAATAAGTGCAAGTGTCAGTCAGGTGTCAGTAGAGCATCAGTGGAGAGTCAGTGGAGAGTCAGTAGAGTCAGTGGAGAGTCAGTAGAGTCAGTGGAGAGTCAGTAGAGTCAGTAGAGCATCAGTGGAGCGTCACTAGAGTCAGTAGAGCATCAGTGGAGCGTCAGTAGAGTCAGTAGAATAAGTGCAAGTGTCAGTCAGGTGTCAGTAGAGTCAATGTAGTGTCAGTACAGTCAGTAGAGCTTCATTGGAGCGTCAGTAGAGTCTGTAGAGCGTCAGTAGAGTCAGTAGAGCGTCAGTGGAGCATCAGAGTCAGTGGAGTGTCAGTAGAGTCAGTAGAATAAGTGTCAGTCAGGGTTCAGTAGAGTCAGCAGATTTTTTCTATACCTGCAGCATGATGATGTCTTTGTCGAACATCTCGACTCTGCACTTGACATTGTGGTAGTAATAGATCTGAAACAGGTAAACAACAACAGTAAACAACAACAAACTGCATGTGTTAACTGACAACGATCTGTCTGTCTGCTCAGAGCATTTCCCTCTGTGCTTTTAGAATTGATCGCTTCAGTATTGATCACCAGGTAAGAACTCACCTGGTTGATCAGGGAAAAGCCATTCCTTCTCCACATCCCAGCATGCACCTGGGCACACAGCACCAGGCAGCGGAGGGGCAGTTCGATCAGGAGGGGTGGGCTGAGTTCACCCTGAGGACATATGTTAACAGAGATCAATGAGCTGATCAGGTCGATCTGATGTACTGATCCGATCAGTCTGAGCTGGGTAGGTGCTGCCCTCTGAACTCGTGTTTCTGTCATCATGTGACCCAAAACATGTTTCCAATCAGTAATCAATAATCAATACTCTGCTCTGAGTGACAAATGTTACTGACCAGTGGGAGCTGCTCAGGGAAACGAGACGCCACCTCGGTCCTGCTGAGGAGAACATGGAGCCCTGAGGGACAGAACCGACAGAACCGACAGACAGAGTGAGAATCCAAAACCAGAAAGTCACTGATCACCAAGAAAGCAGCAAACAGCAGCTGATGCTTAGAGACAGAAACAGACTGCATGTGTCCCTGTGAGTCTGTGTGTGTTTACCTGCCAGCAGCCTGCAGACCGGCAGGTGTATGGACACCTTGTCCTGGGACACCTGGTACCTGAACGTCTCCACACAGTGACCGGCCAGACTCAAGCTGATTGGCTGCTCACCGTCTGGGAGGCCACTGTGACAGTGACTGAGCGCGCTCAGACACTTCCTGTAGGCCTCAATCAGCACACACTCCTGACAGACAGACAGACAGACAGACAGAGACACACACACAGACACACACACACACACACACACACGAACCAAAGAGATTAAACACGTCACATGATCATCAGTCTACGTCTATTGATTGAATGAAACGTCATAGCACTGAAAAGTGCAGCCCGTATGTTGTGCGTCGTATGTTTTATGTACTTTGTAGTGTGTTATATGTAGCATGTTGCATATTACATGTAGCATGCTACATGTAGTTTGCAGTAACATTAAGGGCCTTTGCTCACGTCGGTGGAGCTCCACTCCTGGATCATGGAGATGATGTGAGTTAGTTTCATCTGCAGAGTGAACGCTGCCTCCCACTCTGGCTCCATCTCTATGTGCTGCCCCACCTGTCTCACCACCGGGTCCATGCCCTGAGACAGACAGACAGGTTACAGACAGACAGGTTAGAGAGAGACAGACAGACAGACAGACAGGTTACAGACAGACAGACAGACAGGTTACAGACAGACAGACAGACAGGTTACAGACAGACAGACAGACAGACAGGTTACAGACAGACAGACAGACAGGTTAGAGACAGACAGACAGACAGACAGACAGACAGATAGATAGATAGATAGATAGATTACCTGCATACACTTGAGCAGCTCCAGAAAAGCATCCAGACCTTCCAGGAACTTCAGTCTGAGCTGATCGGTCCAATCAGACGGAGGACTGATGAGGACGTACCTGCACAGAGACACTGGCTCAACTGGGAACATTGGGAACTGCTGTACTGGTTCACTGTCTAGGAAATCTGACTAGTATCTGACTGGTAGCTCTGGTTCTCTGACTGGTTCTCTGACTGGTTACTCTGTTTCTCTGACTGGTTACTCTGGTTCTCTGACTGGTTCTCTGACTGGCTCTCTGACTGGTTCTCTGACTGGTTCTCTGACTGGTTCTCTGACTGGTTCTCTGACTGGTTATCTCACTTGAGGTCTCCAATGAGGCTCTGGACCCGTCCGAACTTGAAGGCCTGCTGGGCGGTGTAGCGGTCGAACTGGAAGCGCCCCTGCAGGTCTCTGTGACGCAGGTGATCAACAAAGGTTCTGATGATGGTGGTCATCAGATTCTCCTCCACCATCAGCATGCGAGCCTGCAGCACACACACACACACCTAAACCAGAACTGGACCAGAACCAGAACTACACCCTGCCCGTTTCTTTGCTCACACAGAAACGGGCAGCCTGTAGATCCGCCTGTAGAACTGGAAGAACCACATTTGCCTGCTGATCAGGATAAATGATAATATATGCAGAAGCCATCTTGGACAATAAATACTGTTTCATTAAAATGTTCAGGTGAATCAGGGATTGGATCACGGCTCCGTCAGCAGGCGATACACATTCACTTTGTTCTAGTAAGATCTATACGTTTCTGTGGAAAAACATTGTTTTGATTTGAAGAATCTTTGAATTGAAGTCAGACTTTGTACCTGATGTTCATCCATCCATCCATCATCTCTACACCTTAACCCTCACTAGGGTCATGGGGGGCGGAGTCTATCCCAGCTGACTCAGGGTGAAGGCAGGTTCACCTGGACAGGTAACCAGTCTATCACAGGGCTACACTTAGAGACAGACAACCAAGCACACTCACATTCACACCTACGGACAATTTACAATCACCAATTAACCTCAGCATGTTTCTGGACTGTGGGAGGAAGCCGGAGAACCCGGACAGAACCCACGCGTGCAGCCCCACCTGATGATCAGTAATAATTTAATAAACTCTGGGACGACTACGCTCAGGTCTACCACAGTACTGTATGAAATGAAGGCTTCATTACATCTGTCTGCAGCATAAACAACCAAATGTTATGTAAGAGCTTCAGGCAGTTTAACCTTTAGGTACCATGCATGAGGACCTAAAGGACTCAGCTGCTGGATGTCTCTGCAGCAAGAACTCACCAGAGACGGGACGGTGAACATTTGCACTGACAGGTCAGTGATGGAGAACTCTCGGTCGTGGTCGTCTTTCACGTAGTCGCTCTGCAAGCGCTCATAGTTCTACCAGCAGACAGGAAACAGAGAGACAGGTGTGTGCAGGTGAGGAGGGGGTGTACTCACCATGGTCGGGACGGTGAAGAGCTGAACAGACAGAGAGGTCACTGACACCACTCGCTCGTGGTCGTCCTCCATAAAATCTGTCTGGAGGCGTCTGTAGTTCTAGAGGGGGACGAAATTTCACCTCCGGGTCAGAGGTGGCTGCTGCTGCCAGAGCGACAACCCCAAAACAGAACCCCCAAACCTCCAGCAGAACCCCCTAAACTCCAACAGAACCACCTAAGCCATCAACTGAGCGCCAAAACCTCTAAGAGAACCCCTCCCTAAACTCCAACAAAACCACCTGGACTTTCAACTGATCCACAATACCTCCAACAGAGCCCACCCAGCCTCCAACAGAACCATCCAAACCTCCAAGATATGCCCCTAAACTCCAACAGAACTACCCAACCTCCAACTGACACCCCCTAACCTCCAAGTGACCCTCAAACCTCCCAAACTCCCCACAGCAGCCAAGCGTGGATTAATCCGCTGCTGAAAATAGTCCCTGACAGCTCACATGTCACATCCTAAAATCAGACTGCTTCGTATCCGAACCAGCAGCGGCCCACCTGAGTGACTGGTCCTGACGTCAAACCTCTAAACGCAGTTTCTGGCTCATTTTTACTTATTGTGGCCATGAGTAGAGAGAAAACTCAGAAATGTCTTCTGTGTAGTATGACACAGTTAGAATATCAGAAAGATAGAAACACTCCTTTATTACTGATTTTACAATGTTAAAAACCAAGAATCAACACGTCCAACATGTTTCCAGACAACATAACAACACTGGATAAATGTTGTCTTGACTTTTCCTCTCTGCTCTGCTCATCAGCTGTAGAAAGATGTTCCACCATCAGATGTAGAAAGATGTTCCACCATCAGCTGAATGCATCTCCACCAACTGGCTCCTCTGTTCTCTGGTTCTGATCCATGCTGCATTTCTTCATTGATCCAGTAGGTTGGATTTTATTCTCAGTCTCTCTGAGGAAACACTGGCCAGAGGGTTGAAACGAACCAGTTTATGACACTAATGTATCAGCAGTACAGCTGGATCTCCACGGTAACTGATGCT